GCCCCTAAGCATAACCTCCCCTGCTGTCCCTCGCGGACATGCACCAGGATAATTTTCTCAAAGAGCTTCCCCAGGACCGGGGTAAGACTAACTGGCCTACAGTTCCCTGGGTCCTCCTTCCTCCCTTTTTTGCAAATGGGAACCACATTGGCCCCTTTTGATGGTCCCTTTTGATAGCCCTTTTCATTGGTCCTTTACCTTATTTCACAATAGGGTCTGCACCTGCCCATCTGGCAGCACGTTCCCACGTTCATGGCTGCAGCTGAGTGCCCTGGACAGACATAAGGAGACCTTTCCCTGTTCCCAGGGCAGAAGCCAAGTGGCCCCCGCCTGCCCTGCAGGGGAGCAGCCTGGGCACAGCACCCAGCCCTGGACCTCACTAGTGGCCGGACCATTAGGAACCAGTGCCCTCTGCCCTCATATTTTGCAACTCAGCATGGCTCGGTGCTGGGGGAAATAATAGAAGAAACTCCTCGTCCCAGCAAAGAGGTGCCCCTACTAGAGTCCAGCAGCACAGTCAGCAGGAGCTCAGCAGGCCCAGCCCCTTCCCTGCCCCGCAGACGTCCATCCCCCTGCAGACGGCGCATGCACACCCTGGCCGTGGGTCCCAGCTTGCTCTGCTCCCAGGCACAGCAGCATCCTGACTTTTGTGACTGCTCTGATGCTTGCAGGCTGGTCCTGTCACTTGGAGGCCTGCTGCTAATCCCCAGAGCCTCCCCTCCACATCCCCAGCGGGGCAGGAACCTGCTGCTCTCTGCCTGCTCTGGGTGGGCAATGGATGGGGGAGAGACATCGCTTGAGGTTCTCTTCCCTGTTTACTGGAAGAAAGGGAAAGTCCTGAAACAGTGCCGTGGGACACGCTGCTAGGGGCTGTTAGCCGCAGTGCAGCAAAGCAGCCTTGCTGCGTGTCCTCTGCCCACCCAGCAGCCCCAGAGGCTGCTTGTCTGTGGGTGACCTGCTACTGCCCTTCCTGCAGCTTCCCTGTCCTCAGCCGAGTGCTCTCAATGTCTCTCCCTCATTGCCCATCCTGTGCTGATTAAGGCTCCCAAGGGCCCTGCCGAGGAGAGATGGGAGGCACATGCTCAAATTAGAGGGAAAGTTCATCATGGCAGAGCAGCTCTCCAGCCAATGAGTAGGAAAGGCTGTGATTTATATCCCACAGCAGAGGCTGCTTTCCAGCTCTTCTCCGTGCTGGTTAGGGCAGCACTAGTCCCCATCACAAGACACACACACAAGGAGAACTGGCACAGCAGAACAACCCAGAGCCTGGGCTGGGTCGTCAGCCGCGTGCAGCTGAAGTCAAGTAGACGGCAGGGTGGATTTGCACCTTACAGACTAACCAAAGGAGATATAGGTATAGCACAAGCTTTTGTGGGATGAAGCTCAATTCATCAGATGCTGTGAAAGGATGTGCACAAAGCAGCATGTAGGAGAGAGAAATTAGACTACAAAAAAAAGGGGGGACGGGGAGGGAGATGGGGGAGGGCTCCAGGACCCACAGCAGATCTGGGGCCTGCTGGAACGTGAGCCTCCGTCCGCCAGGCAAGGTGAGCCCAGCCCTGGGGACCCCGGTCCCCTTCGCAGGGCTGCAGACAGACAGGAGAGGAGCACCCGGCGCTGACGCCTGCAGTCAATGCTGTTTGCTGCTCTGAGCACTGCAAACTGAGCTCCCTGCGGCAGCCCGGGCACCGCCCATTTCCAATTCACTGCAAGAGCTGCCTGCGGAGAGGCAAGCTTGTTTCTGATCGTGCTAAACCCCACAGGCCTGCCAGCGCCCGCCACTGAGCTCGCCGCACGGGGGGCTGCCTCTCCAGGCTGGAACAGGTCCTCTCAGTGGCCCAAGGCAACAGCCTCCTGGAAAGCCGAGATGCATGGTCCCTGGAGTCTGGGCCTCTCCCACAGGTAATCGCTGTTGATGCTCTGTTCTTTCGCACCCCAAATCCTCTGTTCTTTGGCCCTTTCAGCTATCTGTAATGACCAAGTTTAAGCAACGGATTGAAAAACAAGGGAGATGCGGGTATAAGCGGGTACAACCAGCTGTGGGCTAAAGACAGGGCTGGGGTCTACCACGCGTTAGCTGCTCCGCGCGCCCACATTTACCCCGCGTACATGACAGCTAGCCCCTGGCATCTTCAGCCCAGCTCAGCTGAGGAGTTAGCCCCTGCCGCACGGCTTCTCCTTCTGCTTAGCAGGAAGCTGCTAGCTTGTCTGTGCCCAGACCTTCTGGCCATTGCTGATACATGGAAAGTGCCTGTATCTCTCCCTGGCCTCCAGTGCATCCAGGCTGACCATGGGTCTGTAATGAAATTTGTGTTATCGCCTTCATCCCCCTGTGAGGTGATTGCTGAGTTTTTAATCTCGGGGATTAGTCTGGCAGCAGTGACCCATGCTCCCATATCCCTGCCACCAGACAGAGACCGGGGCAGCCTCCAGCTTGGCATCCCTCCTAACAAGCCTGACTTATCTCCACATTCACATGCTGTTGGCTGCAGCCCTGGAGGCAGGGGAATTAGCCACGCTCCTGCCAGCTTCCCCTGCATGGCCCGATCCATTGCCAGGCGGGTGCTGCCACGGACCTTGTTTCAGCTGTACAGTCCCCAAAACAGGCACTCAGTTCCCACTCTGGAGGCAGGAGGAGGGGATGCTGCTTCCACCCAGGGCACGGCATCCTTCCCTGACTGGGATCCAGTCCCTTGCCAACAGCCGGGTGCTGCTCCCCGAATGGGCTCCTGCACCTCGGGCTCCTCCAGTTGGGGCTTGCAGGAAGGTACAGCCCAGTCCCAAGCACTTTGAAGCTCAGGCACGTCAGTGAGGGCCCCCTCCTGCACCATCCTGGGGTCTCCCAGGGCTCCTTGCCCCTCCCAGGCTGCCCCGCACGAGGCGGCATATTCAGCAGGGTTCAGCTCCGGCCCCGGGCTCACGGCAGGCAGAGCCCCACCGGGGAGAGGGGCTGCAGGCAGCGCACACAAGGGCAGGTCCCAGCTCTGGTCGCTCCTGGCCTGGGCAGGGCTGTGGCTCAGTGACAAGCTGGGGTTTGTTCTCCTAGCCTGGTGAGGCTGGGGTTTCCCTTTGACTCCAAGTCTCTTGGCAGCGGCTGCACCAGGCCCCCACAGTGCCAGCGCCACCTGCCTTCATCTGAACTGTCAGCCACGTCTCCCAGTGACCAAGCAGGCAGCTGGCCTCTGCCCAGGGAGAGATGGAGGGGGAAGGTTTTGCTGGTGCATAGGGAAGGCAGCAGCACATCTGGGCTGTGCCCGGGACAGGCCTGCCAGCTGTGTACGGGGACCACAGAGCCAACACCCTGGAGCCGGTGCTGCTGTGAGCAGCATCCTTGGGCAGCAGGAAACTCAGTGGACACCAGCTCCCCAGCTGCAGCACAGAAAGCCCCTCTTGACATCCCTGCCTGCAGCCCGGCCCCAAGAAAGTGAGTGCCTGTTCCCCGGGCCAAGGCCCTTTGGGCCTCCACCCTGCAACCATCAAGCTCCCAGCTTCTCCCCAGAGCGTGCGCTGCCCTTCCAGCACCCCAGCCTGCCCGCAGCCACGCGGGCCAGCAGCTGGCAGAGTTGGACCTGAGGGTATGGCGCTCGGGGGCAAAGGGCTGGGCCACAGGGTGGAGCCCAGGACAAGTGACAGGTAAACCACCTGCAGACCTGGCTTCCCCCCCCCACACCCAGGTAATGACACAGGTCTGCCCATGGGCTGGGAAGAGCCTCAGGAGGTGATCTCCCCCCCAACCTGCACCCTGTCTGCTCCAAGGCAGGAACAATGTGGTCTGTGCCTGCCCTTCCCAACATGCGTTTATCCATAATGCTTGTAAATATGCTAGTGCAGCAATCTCACAGCCCTGCCCTTTCCCAAGGGGCCTCCCCCTGCACAGGCCTCTCCTGGCATCTACAGGCTTTTCCTTGTCTTGCCTAAACTTCCCCTGCCTGGCTTATGCTCATTATTTCTTGCCCTATCCTCCCTTTTTGCATATCGAAGGACTGTTGATCTTTCTCCCCTTTCTCGGGCCACACACACTGAGCCCGAAAGCATTTCCTTGTTGGCCAGCTGCCTCTTTGTTGGCTAGTCCATGTCTTTGCTGAAATGTGGCACCAGAAGCTGGGAGGATCAGCGCCAGAGCCGCGTGATGGGAACAAGGGGGTCAGAGGCAGCTGGATGCTGCCAGAGACGCCTTGCTGTTGCCGCCTCCCTGCACGGCTGTGCTCAGAAAGGCACCAGCATCTCTCAACTTTGGGCAGGGGCTGCAGCAGGACTGGGTTTGAAGGTGGTGCATCACTCTTTGCCAGGGCAGAGACCGTGCTCCGGCTCTCCAAAGGGCACACGTTCCCCACACCTGCCTCCAGATGCCCTTCCTAGCTCTGCAGCCAATGTCCACAGCCCTATGCTGCTGCAAGCACTCAGGGGGTCTCTCCCTTCTGTTTGAGGCATCGGGGCAGTCGAGGGCAGCCAGGATGGGCTTCCTTGCTCACAGAGCCCAGGCCTCTTGCCAGCCAGGGGAGAAGCAGAGGCCCTTTTTTCCTGGAGTTTGTCTAAGAAGGAGCTGAAATTCAGATGCCCATCACTTATCCTGGGGTCTCTCCCTGCCAGACCAGGCCAGGTGGCAGGGGTGGGAGTGATGCACACAGAGTCCATGAATTGGGTTGGTTCCTTAATGAGAGAGGCCAAAAACACGTTGGAGGCTGCGTGCATACGTGCGTGCGTGCATACGGAGAGGGTCTCTGCATGTGGGCAAAGCTGGGTGCACAGGGGTCTGCCCTGCACAGGAAGGGGTTAATACTGGTTGCCACCCCATGACAGCATGAAATTGGCATGCACGGGCATGTCCTAATTCTGTCCCAAGATGGGATTGGTGAAAGGCATCCTCCCCCTGCCCGCCCCTCCACACGGGGATAAATGGGTCGGTGCCGGGTCCCTGAGCCTTGTCTGGAGCAACACAGGCCAGGCATTCCCCTCCCTCCTCCACGTCCCAGCCCCGCTTTGCCCAACAGCCCTGGAGCATGGAGATGCAGCTGCTGTGGGTCCTTGTCCTTGCCGGGCTCTCGGGGATCCTTGCGCAGACAGGTAGGGCACGGATGTGCAACTTGGGGTGCTCCAGGCTCAGCATCCACCCCAAGGGAGGGCATAGGTGGGTCGGCAGTGGCTGGCACAAGGGCAGATCCATAGAGCACGGGTGGCCAACCTGTAGCATGGGTGCCACAAGTAGCACAGGTAGCCTGTGTGTCTGGCATGTGGCAGATGGAGAAGGGGACAGGCAGCACAGTGGTAGAAAAGGAAAAGACAAGAGAGCAGCAGATGAGGCAGAGGAATGGGATCATAGTGGCACTCAGGGAGGGCACAGGGCTTAATGTGTTGCAGGCCTGCAAAAAGGGTGCCCCCACTGCCCCAGAGAACCTGCAGGAAGATGCCCTGTGCAGCAGTGGAGGAGCCCAGGATCACCTGGTTGTCTCCAGCCTCAGCACATCAGGGAGGCCGGTGTCCCCAAGTCACAGCCATCACGAGCCAGCTGACCAGGAGGGAAGAGGCTAAAACACAGCTGTGAACAACGAGGGGATTCTGGTCAGAGCAGTTCATCAGATCCCCAGAAAGCTGCTGTGGCAGGAGCAGCGCCCGGCTCTGGAGGAGGGGGAACAGCGACCAGGGTCCTTACCGCAACGTCATGGAGGGGTGCAGGCACGTCCTCACCAAGGTGCGCAGAGTGGGCACTCCTGGTGCTGTGCTCCATCCAGACCCAGCAGCATGAACTTGGGGGCCCTCAGCCAAGAGCCCCAGGGGCCCCAGGCCAGGAATCGCCCACCAAGAGAGTGCTGTTGTTGCATGACGTTCTTCACACGTGCCATCATCTCCAATGATGGGCCTGATGTGCACTGAGGTCACCTGATCGGTGGGGACCTCGTCTAACATGCAGCGCCCAATTCCATGTTAATAGGGAAGCGACAGTTACAAAATCAGTGAGCACCAGCAGACACCCATGGCACAGGCTGGGACCTGCACTCACATACTGGGCTGAGGCAGGTCGGCTGGGGCACTGCTCCTAGCGGGCAGCTGGGCTGAGCAGACCGGCTCCGGGTGCATGGGCTCAGAGCACCTTTCAGAGGCTGCTCCTGTGCACATTTCTACTCAGACCATGTCCTAGGAAGCTGCCAGGACCTGCTTTTGGACTCTAATCTCCAGGTGCAGGCAGGACCAGCTGTAGCAGCTCCTGCCCTGCCACCACTCAGGTTCAGTCCAGCTACACGTAAATGCTGATGTTGCAAAGTGCTCTCAAAATCCATGCGCGAGAGCCCATTTGCAAATGGCCGTGGCACTAGGGGTAGGGAGTGTGGAGGGAGCTGGTTCTCCGCAAGAAAGTGCAGGTTCTCTGAGCGTGGCTGCGATGTGCTGTGGGAAGTGTGGAATCTGAGGACATTTTTGAAGAAAATGTGTCAAAATGAGTCATCTTCATGTCTCTTCACTATGGGGAAAACATTTAGCTTAGATGCTGCCATTCCAACTCTCCAGGTACAGCGCTGAGTTTAACGTATTTATAGATGCGCTGTATGCTGGGGGTTGGATGCAACCGTGCTGAAGCTGGTGGGCAGAGCAGCTGCTTTCCCTGCGGGATCAATAGCAGCAGCCTTCTGGAGTAGGGTGACAGCAAGTGTGGGAGCCCCATCACAGCACAGACCGCACACAAGGCAGCTAGGAGCAGAGCCGGAGGGGGAATGGGAGGGCTTTCACTTGGAGCTGGGTCTTGTCTGGATGCAGCAAGAAACCCCAGCTAAATACTCCTGGAAGGGCTGCAGGTAGCCAAGAAGTGCCAGACAAGGCCCTGTAGGAGGACACTGAGAGCTATGAAGCAGAGCTCTGGTTAGAAAAGGAGCTGGATATGCTGTGCAGAGACCCTTCATTCCTACAGCGGCAGGGACCCAGGATGCTGTGTACACTGTTCAGGAATAAAGAGCGTTGTGCCCAATAAATGCCCAGCTCCATCAGCCATTTCTCCCCCAACAGCAGTACGGTGCAGGACTCCACCAGGGGCCCTGGTACCCACACCTGTGCATACAAAACCCTGCGCTATTTCTGACTTGGCTCCTCTCAGAGTTTGCTTTCCAGGGGAAAGTTTCATCTGTCTGTGACAGTCCAGAGACGTGTGTCCAGACCTGAGCCCTTCTCCTGGGGTGGGAGTGGAGCCCCCTCCTGACCAGCCCAGACTGACCTGACACCCTGGGCTCCTGCGTGATGCAGGGGCAAACCCTGTTCCCTTTCACGTGCCTACGTGGCACTGACATGTTTGGTACTTCAGCAGCGTGGGCCTCAGCACAGCTCTGCTCGCCCTGTGCACCCCAGCTGCTCACATGCAAAAGGCAGCACAGATGCCTGGGAAAGCAGAGCTGCCAAGCCCACACATCATGCTGGGGAAGGCCCACCACTCTACCTGCCATCAAAGCACAGCTTGCTTGGGTTGGAGGCTCTTGGGGGATGCTGCCCACCCCAGCTTAGTTGCACAGGCAAATGCCCAGGAAGCATGGGACCCCACATTCACCCAGAGAGAGTATGAAGCTGCATCCTAGCAGAGCCCTACCCACCAGGGTATGGGCTAGGTACTGCCCAGCCTTCCCTTGGCACTTACTGGGCAGCCTGGAGGCAGAAACAGGTGGGGCATGGCGAAGGCAAGCAAGGCAGCGGGGTGGTGGCTCAGTGAGACAGAACTGTGGCCTGGCAGGGAGGCAGCCTTGTTCTAGCTGGCACCCCTGCTCCTCATGTGCTGCCGCCCTCTGCCCCCCAGTGCTGTTTATCTAATAACCATTACAGGTGCAGTGGGGCAGCTCCAAGGGGGCTGGTGGGGGCTCTGGGCAGGGCCTAGCTATTGCATGGGGTCGGGGGCCAGAGCTCCATGCAGGTCCAAATCCCATGTGGGTGAGAGGGACTTGGGCATGAGGACTCCTGTCCTCTCAAAGAGCCAGAGCTCACAGGTGGGAAGTTGGGGTCCTCTTGCACTTCCAGCAGGTCCAAGCACAGGGAGATCCTGACCCTCCCCAGGGGGAGGGGTATCCGTGTGGCCTGGCCAGGGAGCAGGTGGTGGGAGTGCAGTCGCAGAAAGGCTTGGGGCAGGAGGCGGGTGCGCTGGTGGCAGCGTCGGGCTGTGTAGCTGGCTCTGTAGATGGGCAGACGAGATGCACTAAGGCCCCTGCCACTCATTACATGTATTATGCAACGAACTGGGTAGTCATACAATACATTTCGACCAGCTACACATGCCAAATAATCATGATGCCATTGCCATAAGAAGGTTTATCCAACTACAAAATGAGCTGACTATTGCTTGCAAATGCGTAACCATGCTAGAGTTGGTTTCTATCCAGCTTTCATCTGAACGTGAGGCACAACCTTAAAGCTGGGAGAGGCCCCAGTGCTTCCTGCCCCTGGGTAACCCGCTGGCCATCTCTCCTCTCCCCCAGACCTGTACCAAAAGGTGTTTGTCTTCCGCAATGATCCGAGCAATGCCTATGTCAGGGTGCAGACGAAGCCAGAGCAGCCACTGCAGAACTTCACCGTGTGCCTGCGGTCGTTCAGCGACCAGACCCGGCCCTACGGCCTCTTCTCCTATGCCAGCAAGGCCCATGACAATGAGATCCTCATCTTCAAGCTGAAGTCCGGGGAGTACCGGCTGTACGTGGGGGGGGAGTTTGTGATGTACCACGTCCCAGAGAATCGCATGGACTGGGACCATGTCTGCGCCAGCTGGGAATCCGCTATGGGCCTTGCTACCTTCTGGATTAACGGGAAGCCCCTGCCCCGGAAGGGGCTGCAGAAAGGCTACTTCATCAGCACCGAGGCCATGATCCTGCTGGGGCAGAAGCAGGATGGCTACGGGGGCAGCTTCGACCCATACAATTCACTCACAGGGGAGATGGCTGACGTATACATGTGGGAGTATGTGCTGTCACCAGCGCAGATGAGGGCTGCCTATCTTTCCCTGCGGCTGCCTCCCTGCGCCCTGGGCTGGCGGAACCTGCAGTATGAAATCAAAGGGGACGTGGTCGTGAAACCCAGGCTGAGAGAGTCCGTGGTGCTGTGAAAGCAGGATAGGCCCACAGGCTTTGCAGCCTACCCCCTCCCCTTCTTTCCCCAGTTCTGCCTCGTTCCAGAGGCTCTGTCCCCGCCAGATGTCTGCCCGCCACTGCACCCCGCTGCAATCAAGCATAAGGGAGAGCGTAAGAATACAAGAAGTGCTGTGCTGCATCAGACCAGCAGCCCATCTGGCCCAGTATTCTTCCTCCGACAGTGGCAGATGGATGCTATAGCCGGAGAGCACTGAACTGGACAACTCTAGAGTCATCTCTCCCCTTTCAGTGTCCTCCCTGGCATCCAGCATTATTGGATTAAAGATGCCAGAGGAAACATCTCCCACCAGTCTGTTCAACAGCCATTAATAGATCTACCAGCCATGAATTTACCCAGTCCCTTTTGAACCTGGCTTTGCTCTCTGCCTCCACCGCCTGCTGTAGCAACAAATTCCATAGGTTAACTGTGTGTTGCATAAAAAAGTCCTTTCTCATTAGTTTTGAACCTGTCACCTACTCATTTCAGCGGGTGCCCCCGAGTCCTAATATTCTGGGACTTGGAGAACAACAGCTCCCGGTTCACTGGGTTGACACCCATCATGATTTTATAGACCTCTATCATATTCCCCTTCAGCCTTCTCCTTTCCAAATTAACAGACCTACCTGATTTAGTTAACAGCTTTTACAGCAGCAGGACATTGGCTGCTGTGGTCCCCCTGCTTTACTTGTGGCAGGTTTGGGTGCAATGTCTTGTGTTGTGTCAGGATTGACTGTGTTGTTAAGCTAAGACGTTGGATGATGGATGTGTCTGGCCATAGGCAATGCATAGAGAGGGCATGGTGGGGGCACATGTCCCCCCTGAGATTGGCCACCACTGAAGCTGCCACTGGCTTCTGCAAGGGGGGACCAATTCCCCCCCCCCCCCCC